CTTGTATCACAACTCAAATGTCTCTTTGTTCTTTCAGCCTGATTTAAAGGAAATTGCCCTATGTACTACAGTAGTTTTGAATGTATTAAAAGTTTTAAAAATTGTTAATTATATGAAATATTCTAACAGTTTAAGTTTAAATGATGCAATTAGCCAGTTACAACTGAAACTACCAGGCCTTATTTAAAATAATGAGGTCTGACAGTTATGGAGTCTGAATTATTCATTGATAACTAGCTTTTCCTCTTTTGCAAACCATGGCTAACATTAATAACAGAGGTGTAAGTGTGAGAACAAAAGAGTTTGACATTGGGAATACAAATATAAAAGTTCTAAATTATTCCTTAATTAAAATTACTATATGAGCAATATTTTCCAAGAAAAATCATTAGGACTAATATTTTCTCATACATTTCAACATTTGTTTCTGCACGGAGTCACTGGTTAAAGTGACAGCACTTGATGATTCATCATCCAAGAGAATACCTTTAAAATAGAGTTCATTTCTGCAACAACATTATTTTAAAGATGCTATTTTAAAAACAAAACTCAGCACTGTCTATTGTGATTCCTGCAGTTACCACACTTACAAAAATACACACACTAATGGCACAGAGTCCTTCCAGTATCAGAAGTGTTCTATTTCCCAGTGCCCTTCATCTTGCCATGGCTCATGTTGCTTTCTCCATGATTACTCCATCAGCCTCAAAGATCCTTGCTTTATTTAGCACACCTGAACACAAATTAAGCATTATAATTTTAACATGAATACTGAGATTTATATCTAGCAGCTAATTTCACAAAAGCCTGAATTTCCATGAGCTAATTGCTTGCTCTAAGCCTGGATGTTTTTCATTACAATTGCTAAAACCAAAACAGAATCTCTGAATAAGCTAATCTAACAACAGTGAACATATCTGTCTCCTAATTGTTCAAATGTTCATATGCATCTGGATATCTTTTATGACTGAAAACTAGAGCTTATGCAATTGAAGTAGAAACTATTATACATCCTCATTCTCCCTCAAACCAAAGCAAAATAAAGCAAAAAAAAAAAAAAATCTGGAAGTAGGACATGCTGAAAGAGTGACTCATCTGCAAGTAGGAGTGACTGATCTTTGTCTATGACTCTGACACCACAACAGAATTACATCACCTATGAGATCAAAAATAGGGATCTTAAACAAGCAGAAGTGTAGACTCAGTTTGGGATGAATTGTTGAGTTACTGCAATCACACAACACATCAGTGTTGCTGTTTGGAAGATAATTATGCAGCAGACTTTCAGAGTGACATTTATACTTAGCATTCCTGTGAAGCTTAAAGAGGCTGAACCTCCAAATGGATGCAATGGTTCCTGAACACCTAACTTTAGAGCTTCTGAAGACTGCAGTCTAAATGTGCATTTTAATAAAGTATGCTTCTATTTTATTGTATTGCTGTACAGTTCCTCAGTGCAGGAAGATCAGAGAGGTGAAGGTCAGAATAAATACTACATAGATATTGAAGTCTGTTCAGTGAGACTTTGAAAAGGAGGATTTGAAAGATGACTATTTTTATTAGTGCAGATACATACAATATAACCTGATTTTTTTTGTGCAAATGTCAATTGCAGTATACATATTGTTCACTGAAGATTATGTCATTGGTCAACAGGGAGGAGAGTCCCCAGATGAATGATTAATAATCAATGTGTCTGGGTTCTTATTTTATTCCTCAGAAAGAAAGAATGAATTAATAGCGTTTCTCCCAAAAATGGGAAAAAAGGTCCCAGAAATAGGTCACACCAACTATGTCTGTACACAGAGGGGTCCTCTCTGTAAGTGGATTTCCCTAGTTTGGGTAGGGAGCCTCAGCCTCCACTCTTATATCATTGCTTCACCTTCCTCCATTCTGATGCAATTAGGGAGAAAAGGCAATATGGATCAGAGTCCTATTATTTTTTCATACAATCATGAAAAACTGAGAGAAAGGGTGGAGAAATACCTAGGGAGAAGGGTTTTGAAGGAGGCCCAAGGTAATGCCTAGGCATGTGCTCTCTCTACAGGTGATCCAAAGTCTTCCACCAAGTCTGAGCAAACAGCAGACTTACGTCCCAGGATGAAGGCAAATCAGACTGTGATCCCAGGGGAGTAGGGGGGACAGTGAGCAGCCTCTGAAGAAAACTGTGTTCTCTGACATTCCTGTGACAAGGTCTTTCCAAGCATGTGCAAGATGCATTAAATATCTGCATGTGTCATTATATATTTATGTATGTTATCCTAGGGCATTGTTCTTTTTTTGGAAAAAGAACATTAGTTTGCATTGATAAACATTAGGTAGAATCAGTAGAAATATTTGTCAGGACCACCATATGATAGTCTAGGATTTTTGTCCCCCAAAGGAAGAAATAATTTTATAGAAAGAATGGGTTTGTAATTATTCAATCTCTGTTTGTAGCAGAGTAAGGAATTTAGATTACTCCTTTGTAATGTTCTAGGTGCCAGTTAGATCTGCCTCCAGGCAAGCTTGTGGACTTCTCTTTTTTGTCAAATTCCATGTTTCTTTTTTTTTGAGCAAACCTGCTAATTTTAACAGCTGTCCTTCCTTCCTTCCTTCCTTCCTTCCTTCCTTCCTTCCTTCCTTCCTTCCTTCCTTCCTTCCTTCCTTCCTTCCTTCCTTCCTTCC